ACCAAATTTAATTGAGTGATTTTTCTAAGAGTTCTCAAGCATACATGCATAATCTCCTATATCACAACCATAATTCATAAACAGTTGTCCTTAAATAACAAATATCACTTGACTTATAAATGCGGTTTAAATCAATCATGTAAACATTATTAAATTTCAATTCTTCTAAAACAATTATGCCATTTAGTATTAGCAAACATTTTGTAGAAAGAAATTTTATATTGAATTTTTTATCACATAGCTGACTAATGCTTAAAGATTGTATTTTAAACGCTCTGCTAACAAAACATTTCAATAGAAAATTTGTCAACTTTATCTATAGTACATGAACCAACTATAACTCTGATAGTGTTATCTCCAAGTGTTACATTTCCTCTACTCTTGGCTTCTAGTGTAATTAATTATTTTATATCTTCAATTATGTGTCTTAAACATCTACTATCAAGAAACCACATACTCTCACTAGAACTCTTGTGAGAGCACATCTACAAAATCAATCATAGGTTAATTTTGGGAACCCAAGTGAGTTTGGGTCTCGCCTTATATTACAATAAATGTATGTTATGTTGTGTAGATAATGTATTAGACCTTTAGACCAAATGTGATATACGGTGGATTTTGTATATGAAAATACATATAATGTACCATAAAATGCTACAAGAATAATACTTAATCCCTGAAAATGGGTGCAATAATTTATATGAAGAGTGATATCTTCTTTTCAAAGATAGTGGTGTATATTGTGTTAAGATGTGGCTTTTCAGTGTGTGTAGGCCCTAATATATTTACTTTAAATGTTGTTATTTTATTTATTAGAATTTCATTTGCATTTTTTTATATATGTCTAATTATATTAATGCTTGCTAGTATCCATTTTTAAAGCTAACTTCTAGTTCTTTAAATGCTTTCTTTAATTCAATATGCTATTCATTAAGAAACTTGTGCTTTTCTTCTAATGCACTATGCCCTTTGTTTAAGGACACGTGTTATTCATCTAATGTAATAAGATTAATTCTTAGGTTTGAATAATTATTAATCAAATTCGTATCCTCTTCTTGTAGTGTTGAATGTGCTCGTTTAAGATGTAAATGTTATTTTTTTTAGAAGTATCATGCAATTGTTCTGAAAGAGAGAATAATTCAACATAGGATAGATCGCATACATGATCGTTGTTGGAGTCACCAGAGCTATTTTTGACCATGAGATATAAATTGGATACCTCGTCAACTTCTCTCTGATTAGTCTAAATCAAAATTTGCCCAAAAAGCCTTCTAAAGTTTTTGCTTGCCCTTCTTCATATTGCCTTTTTCCTCACATTTTTTCTTAGTTGGGTGACTCTTGATATTCAAGCATTTAGATTAGACATGACCTGGCTTTTTGTTTTCATAGAAAATAATGTCAGTAGAAAATTTGTTTGACTTTTGTGTTCTTACCTTGTTGTTTATCAAAGTGGCACTTTTGCTGTTTTTCAGGAATCTTTTTAATTGTCTAGTCATTAGTGCTATGTGTTTGTTTCCATCTAAACTAGATTCAATGCTTTCCGTATCATCAGTTTTGAGTGTTATTGCCTTCTTTTTTTGCATTCACCTACATCTACTTGTATTTTTACTTCACCTACATCTACTTGTATTTTTACTCCCATTTTGCTCATAGGCAATCAAGAAGCCAAATAGATTATCAATGCAATAAGAATTTAAATCTTTTGATTCAAAAATTACAGTAACTTTTGAAACCTAAGATTCATGCAAACAATGCAATATTTTATCAAAGTTAGGAATTTCTCTACCCGAAACATGTAATGATATAATAATTTTTGTAAACTTAGTATACAGATCAAAATTGATTCACTAGGTTGCATGTGGAAAAAATCGTATTTGTGCAATAGTAGATTCATGCATGGTTGTTTCACATCACTAGTTTTTTTATATGTTATATAAAGTCTATCACAAATATCTTTACTAATAGTACAGGTTGAAGCATGCATGTAATCCTCAGATTTTAAAGCACAGAAAAAATAATTAAGACATTTCAATAAAAGGAATCTCTATTTTAACATTATTAACAATTCTAAATGAAAAAATAGAGTCAGTTTGTATAATATGCCACATGAAAATCGATGAATTGTAGAAAGTGGACATATTAATCTTCTAAAAATAAAAAAGAATATTATAAAAAAATGGCGTCAAGTAAAAGAATACCGTTTCAAAGTGTTATAATTTCTAAAATTTGCCATGGGATCAACTCAAGGTATGTAAACCTAAGCAATGAAAACCCGCTATAATACCACATGAAAGTACTTATGGCATATCAAAAGGGTTTGAACTGGTATTTTAAAAATCTTATGCTTAAGATCAAATTGAGATATGCAAAAACATTTTAGAGAATAAAATATTTAAATAAAATCATAAGTAAATAAGATTTTTTTGTTTTGTTTTAGAACTTTTAGAAAACAAATAATTTTTTCTTTTATGTTTTTAATTTAAAAAAAAAATCTTCAACCAAAGATTTATCACCCAACAACTTTTCCACAAAGATAATAAAAAAAAACTAATGAATTATTTCAAAAAATATAACTAAAAATAATATAAAAAATACTCCACAAAGATAATAAAAAAGAAACCAAAGTGGATAAAATAAATTTTAAGTAAAGAGTACGCAAATTGAATTTATAGTGATTCGATCGAAATCGACCTACATCTACTCCTCAAAGGTCCTCTTCTTTAACCCACAGCCAGACTGAGAAACTTTATCCCTTATCAGGAGGAGAATGACCTTTATAGACTCCAAAGAATCTCCTTCCTTCAGCATCCTGGCCTGGCGGAGATATCGCCCTCCTTTAGCTCCTCGCTCTAGCAGAGATGCTAATTCCTCCTTTAGCTCCTCGCTCCAACAGAGATGCCACTTTAGCTCCTCGCTCCTGCGGAGATGCTGCTACCTCTTTCCACCTCTCGACCCGATGGAGATGCCAATCCCTGCTTTTGCATCACAGACAAGCGGAGATGTCAATCCCATTTTACCTCCCGACCCAACAGAGATGGAGATCCCTCCTTTCATCTCAGCTAGCAATTCTTTCAATGTTCTTAGAGCTCTTCTCCAAGAGCTCCAACAAATAAAATAAGAGGACCCAAAGTACAGGCTAGTTGGAGTAAATTTTTTTTCTTTAACTTTAATGTAATGAGAAATTTTTTAATGAAATGAATTTTTAGCTTCTTTAAGATTTTGCTTGAGATGAGATGAGATAAATTTAGATTTTTTTTTCTCAATGGTTATATTTGTTTGCTTGACCTCATGTTTTGTGAAATAAAAAATGTAGTGTAGTTTCCCTTTAATAAGCTGAGTACTCGGAGTTATTTCGTTAGTTTGAAGCCCTATTTGATAACTTTTCCACATTCTTGTATATAAATAGGGCTTCTCCTCTATTCTTTATCTTTATATGCTTTCTTCATGCTCTTGCTTCTATGCTCTAAGATTTTTTTTTTGGTTCCAGTGCTTACTTGAGTTTTATCTTCTTCTTCCTCTTCGTCTATCTTCTCCAAAGCTCATGTCTCAATGATTGCTGGCCTAATTATCAAGAGTACTAAATGATTTCCTAAATCATAATGGAGGTACAATTCTTTTATAATTAAAAACATGTTAAGGTGTTTTTGGCAAAGTTGCATCTAACTTAGGGCTTCACTATGAAAGTTCCATTGATTTTTGAGTTCCCTAACTAGTTATTGGAGAAGCAGTTATGCTTCTATCAAGAAGGAACCTCAAAACCAACTTGCAACTAGCATTCTTTCCTAAAGATGTCAATATCTTGAACTTCTTCAACCTCAACCCAATTAAAGTGATGTTTAACTTCTTGATATGCGATTTCTCAACATCTTCCTCAGCGACTAGAGGATAAAGTGGACGTTGAGCCTTTTTAGGTATGTATCCATTATGAAAGGATTAAAAGAGGGCACACATATATATTCATTATGAAAGCATTCAAAGAATGTGCACTTCATATTTTTTCAATATTCATCAGAATAATAGGGTTAGAGAACAAAGAATGGGACTGAAATAATAATTCTTTCTTCATCAAATAAGCCAAGGGGTAGCCAACCAATAAAGAAAAGGTCGACAAAGATTTCAAGATAAAGCATAGTAAGGATCAAGGGTTCATAAATAGAAGATTGAATGCATGGTAAGATTAAAATAAAGTACATAAAGTAGATTCAATGCTGTCAATTGAACAACATTAGAATCTGAGATGTAGTTGACAGCTAATCAAGATCCTCAGATGAGCTAAAAATTATGGGCAAGTACTCTTGACGAGTTCTTCTAGCAAGAACCTTGATCAAATAGACGAGCATACAGAGCAAGTTTGTCAAGTTCATTGGGAGAGAAGCCTTCATGAATAGGATGCTTTTTGAATCCCTTGGATCACTTCAGTATGTCAATAGTGAAGGTGGGGTAAAGCTTGACTAATGGCAACTTCATAAGATTCAATTTTCGACAACTTGAGCTAATAGGTGACTTAAACTTAGCTAAGTTGAAGATGTTTCAAGCAGGTTCATAATAACCAACGTGTTGAACCCACTTCAAGTTCCCATAATAACTTGATTGATGTGATCATGGTAAATATGGGTGCCATAAATATATTATGTGGAAGTTCAACAAATAAAAAGTTAATTTACAAGTGATCTACATGATGTGTAATATGCCAAAGAATTATAAGTGAATTCTCTTAAAAATTCTTTGCCCATGTTTTTTAGAAAGAAATGGTATCGATCAAGATCTCCTTGCCCTCAAATTTATGTCAACAATGACAATGCTAATTCCTATTCATCATTATGAATTCATTTTCGTCCAATTAATTAATCAAAAAATCGTCTATTTCAATGTTGATGACAAGAAAAACAAGAGTTAACTAGTGAGTTAGATAACTAGGACAATACTTGCCCAATTTAGGGTACGATTGCAGGCATTTATGGCACCATGTGAGCAAGCATCATTTGCTGTTGACCATTTACCTGCCGAGATTATGAAAAATGAGATGAAAACACCAATGGCGCCGAACAACATTATCGTGACGAAGTTATGAAAGAACTGCTTCTTCTTAACCTGAAATCTGCATTAGCAAAATGAGGTCGCAATTCCATTCCCAGTAACAGCAAAACCATTATGCACAAAAAACAACTTACCCTGCATTAAATATTATTGGTGGCAGAAGATATATAAAAAACAGTTCCTCATCAAACCTGAGAATGTGAGAACTTTTACCCCTGCTCAGCAAGAGAATCACAATCCCAGAAAGGCATCCCTAGTTTGTTAAGAAGGAAATGTTAATTGCTTGCTTTACGTCTTTTATCTGAAAGATATAGAAAGATATAGAAACCAAATGTCCAAAACAGATTCAATGCTCTTGGAATTTCGAGTATTTCAACTCAATTTTACAAAGGAAGGAGTCAAACTATCACGCTCAAAGCCTTAATAAAATGTTCACAAAGACAAAAACGAATGCAATACCATAAAATTATTAACGTCGGATTTTTTTCCGGGGTTTCATCAGGGAAGTAACAAAAGCGACTTCATAAAGAAGATTATAGAAATGTATTTAAAAGTGCAATCCACCATGGCAGCCAAGCAAAGAGGGAAAGCTGAAAAAAAAAAAAGAGGCAAACTCGTTGCTCGCCCCTGCAACGCATCCCTAAATTGATAACGAAGAAATTATCAAGTTACTTCGTTTCTTTTATGAGAATGATGGTGAAAGCGAAAGTCCAAACTGATTCAACACACTAGAACATCAAGCATTTCAATACAACATTCACAAGGAAAGAACCAAAACTATCAATGACTACATCGATAACTATTTCCTTAACTAATAAACAGATTTGGATGCTGGGAATTTGTGTTAAAAGAAGTGAAAAAATTGGTTGAAAAGCTTGAATAAATAATTACAGATTCATAATCAACCCATAAGTTATTATTACTTAATTTCATTTCCTTCGCTTTTCTCCGATCCAAACAAAGCCTCTGGGCACAAAACGAAGGCAAGAAGGCAGTGCAAGACGAGAAAATCATCAATATAGCATATTTTCCAATTTCGATCTAAGTAACAAATCTGACGGCAGAAAGAACATTACGGATATGGATTTCATAAGGCTCAACCCATCAAGCTCAAAACAGAAAAAAGGAAATAGGGTCTTTGGATTATTACGATGAAAATGGTAGCGGCGAACTCGTTAGTCCATCGAGAATTGACTAGTACGTGGCCAATCACAATGCAGAAGCAGAGCACCGCTGTAAATATCGAGATGGACACCACGCGAGGATATTCAGCGACGTTGGAGAGAAAGAAATCCACCGCCATAGTAACGAAACAATCTCTTCTTTCTTAAATCCCCGGGTCGATCGCAGATAATTTGAAGGGTCGATCGCAGATATCAAATGAGATATAAAGCTAGGGCTTGGAATCTGGAAGAGACTAGACATTTTTGGCGCGGATTATCAGAGGCTTTTATATATTTGTTTTAAGACGTTTTTATTTTAACCCCGGACATTTTTAGGTGTCGAGCGGGGGGCAACTGTCGACCATTTTCCTACATGGGAAGAGTGACACGCGGACAATTTCGTTGGTGGGCCATCCTTAGGAGGCGAACCTGGCGGTGTTCCCTGACGTGGGAAAGTTATAATATACGTATATTCTATAAAATATAAAGTTTTTCATTATAGATATATAAAGGTATATATTTATATTTGCATTAATATATAAATATTGCTCGTAATTCTGCTCATAGAAAACCAGAATAGCTCGTTTTTAAAATTAAAATAAATCTAAGACTTACGATTCTGTGGCACACAATTCTCCTTGGCCTATTGGTTGAGAGCTTAGGCTTCCAACTAAGAGGTCCAGAGTTCGAGTCTATGTGTATGCGTTGTGTGTGTGAGTTTGCCTTAAATGGCCTAAATGTCCCATTTGAACAAGTCGCTAAAGAAGCTCTTCGCCTGTTCTTCCTATCCAATCGGAAGGCACGGCGGGAGCTCGTCGCGAAGGTATGGATATTTTTCTCCTTGCATGCTTCTCCGACTAAATACCGAAAACCCTGCCATCAACCCTTTGCATTCACTCTTGTTCCTTTTTCATCACTTCGATTTAGTCTTCGTTTAAGACTTTCAGAATCAACAAGAAGCTAGCAAAGAAGATGAGGCAGAGCAGGCCCATTCCGCACTAGATTTGCTTGAGAACCAACAACACTTACCAGTAAGTAAGTATTTTCTTATTTGCAACCCTGGTTCTATAGCTTCTTACATAGTTCGCTTTTCTATTCATCGTAATTTTTTAATCTCATCGTAATTTTTTAATCGTGTTTGATTCTTCTGTGGCACTCTCGCTGGTGATCGCTAGAGATGCTCTCCGGTGCTGATTCATTTGGGTTCCGGGCAACCGCAAGTTTTCCTTTTGATTATTTCAATGGCATATGGTTTAGAGTTCCTTTTGCTTTAATTATTTATATAAAAAAACCCCAATGTATTGAAAATATTGTTAGTTCTGAGTATTAAAAATGTTAAAATTTGTTGCACTCTTTTATATGGATTGCAAAAGTTGTTATTTGACCCCCAAATAGTTGAGATTGATGCTTATAATGATGATGATGACATTGTGGTTATCTAATCAAAGTTTCATCTATATTTTATTCTATTATAATTATATAGCATTTCAATTTTTATTTTCACATGGATATTCTAACATGTTGCATCTCTACTTCTTCTGATATTGCTTTTGATAAATTCTATGTTTATCAATTTCTTCATTATAATATAGAATATATCAGAGGAAACAAATGCCTAATTATGTCAATTTTTAAAATATAGTTTTGATTTATTATCAGGCATGTTCTCCATGTGGCATTTGAAAAGTCTGATCTATTCTTCATCTGCTTGATAAAACCCTTATCAACTCAAATTATTGTATATGAATTGGAAATAGAAGCAACTAGGGTAAACATTCCTCTTAGCATCCAATATTCAATTTGCAGAAGAGAAATGAATGGTATTTATAATCAACTAAGCAAATATCAATCCCATATAAACCATCATACTTTCTGATACAAATAACAACCATTTATGCATTGGATGCCTTTAACTGAGTTCGTGAGGCAACCAAGCATTCAAGATGACCTCATGTTCAAGAAGATGATTGACATCTGCAATGCACGGCTTGGAAATTGTTAACGTTTATTAACTATTCATCAAATGATTTCAAAGTTTGATTCTAGATCTTCTACTTACTACTATAATGTAGTTGAGCCCGAGGACTAAGCTGTCAAGTGTCTTAGATGTCGAGTAAGTGTAGCTCTAAAATTTGTGATATCTATTTTATTATGTCATTTGTATATAAGTCTTATGACTCTTATTAATTTTTATCTAATATGTTGTTATAGTCTCCTTATGACTTTAATTAGACGTTGTAAATAGATACCCAAATAAATGGTTTTGTATAATGCGTATGGGGTAACTATATAGATTAATGTACTGTTTCTTATTTTTGGAAAGAAATGCAGCATGTGTTTGATATGATAAATTGATTATGCAATATGTGTTTCTGTCATTTATTAAGTATTTTTCATAAGTGAGGTATATTGTTTGGCCGAATTTCTCCTTTGGATGCCAAAAATCTATTCATTTTCTTCATTTTTTTTTTCTTCAGTTCTTATTTACATGTGAATAATTGAATTCCTTCTTTTAAGTTCTTATTGGAATGCTATGGTATAGTTATTAATGGCATAAGAATTTATTTTTATGGCATGAATTGATTTGAATGGCATAATTGAAACTTATGTTTTTTTTTTTTCTTTTGGGTGAAATTTCATAGATGAATGGCATTATTGTTTTGCTAGGGTATGAGTGTTCTGCTAAGGTAAATAATACATTCTATGTAGCGCAAGACAACAAATTTTTTAGTAGCGGTTCACTTATAAAAGGTCTTTTGTGCTTGTTTGTTGTTTTTGCTGCTATCATATGTGATTAAAGAGAATGAGTGATATGTTAATGTCATTCAGCCTCTTGTAGTTTGATGAAGTAATTGAGTTCAAGCTCAAGGATAAGTTTAATTTTAAGAACTAGAGTCGACTAATGAGATAACTCATTTAATATTAATAGATTTATTTATTCATGTAGTTAAATAAGTATTGTATTGCATTTCATAATATATATATTATTCATGTGCACTTAGTGCACATGTAATTATACTATGATTTGCTTGAATCCAACATTTTCCTAAATAAAAATGGACAATACTACACTAGACCTAGTATTCAACTTCATCCCAACTTTATTTCTATAATGTGCTTTAATAAATAATATGTTTTGTTAATGTTTTAATTTGATTCTCTAGTGTCAATGCTACACATATAATTCTCTTAAGAGAACTATATATTTTTTGCACTTGTCTATAATTTTATTATTCTTGAATTTTATTTACATAAATTATGGTTTTAATTCAATTCTATAGATTTTGGAGAAATTTATATATTTTAAATAGATTTTATAATCATAAAGATGTATATATTTGCTCAGAGAAAAAGGAAACTACATAAAGAGGCAAAATCTTGTTCAGTTAGCTACAGATAAAATTCTTATTTTTTGCCTCAACTTCATCATGAAAATTAGTTTTCAAATTTGGGCTCCAAATTATTTAAATACCTCTCTTCCACCATTCAAATAAGTTAAAGTTTGGTTTTCTTGATATTTATGCACTTATGCTTTAAGGATGAAAAGAGACATTCACAACCCTATTTTAATGAGCTTATTAGGGGATTGAGTAATTAGCCTTCATCATTGCACTTAAGTATTTGTTTTTTCATTTAATGCACACTTCACTAATATACTCTTATTTTTAAAATCATACAACTATATAATGAGTTTGTTTCATGCGTAATTCAACCTTAATTCTATTGCTATGACTTTTTTTATTTTACTATAGGCCCACTCATCTATGGAAGAATTATCTAATAGTTTTTTTTGTGTGTGTGTGTGTGCGCCTTAATTAAATTTAAAGGACTTAGTTGCTAACTACTAATCTTTCTCATTGAACTCATTCACTATTCCTTGCATGATAAGTTGATACTCTTGTAATACTTTTTTGTTGAATTTGCTTGATTGAAAGTGGTCATTTGTGTTGGTTCTTTTTTTTTATATATTTTGTATTTTATATCACTTTTTATACAATTTGTCATTTTGCGTTGACTATTAGTTCTTAGTTTCATTGTCAATTCTTAATTCTTTATTGTTGGAAATACTTCTTTCTTCCATTTTAAATGCCTAATCGCTTATGTGGTTCTTGATAAGTAAGTAATAAGCAAGCTTCCCAATAAGTCATTCTACTTATAAGGTAGTAGTGCGCTGAGCACTAGTATCTGCTGCACCAAAGTGGCGTCAGGACTTTTCTCTACAATCGTTGATCTCTGACGGTTTGAATCATGACCATTTATGTCTACATCATCTTCTTCCTGTAATTGTTGTATAAATGTATGAGCTGAATCAGTAAAGGAAGAACGAGATATTCCAAAAACCCCTATTCCATTCAGCTCCTTCTTCAATGTTCTATTTTTCTGTTTAACTGTTCTCTGCAGGTAAACATCTGAAGCATGGTATCAGAGCGTTGCAACTCTAATTAAAGCTCAATTGTTCGTGTTCAATCCTATTGTTTGAATGGATTCCTCGCCTGATTCCTCCACTTCAGTCCACACTGCACGGGTGGTAAAAGTGGCAGATATTCTCATACCCGCTCAACTAAAAATTTTAATGACAACGTGAAATCTATTCTCAACATTCAGCTAGCAGCTGAGAACTATCCGCTTTGGAAATCTCAGATATTTAAGCTTTTCATAGCTAATGGTTTCGATGGGTATTTGGACGCGTCAACACCAAAACCATCACGCATGATCAAGTTTGATTTCGGTGATTTACAACTGAATCCAAACTACTGTACTTGGCTATTAATTGATCAAAATTTAGTTTTGGTTCTTTATTCAACGATTTCTACTACCTTTCTTCCGTATGTTCTGGATCTTCCTGTTTTGAGATTTGGCAAACAATTGAACTATGCTTGCAATCTACGAACAGATCTCGTATTTTACAACTTAAAAATGAGTTACATCATATTAATATGAAGGAAAAATCCATGGTACAATACCTGTCTAAGATCAAAAGCAAGGTCGACCTCATTGGATCATCTGATTCTCCCTTATCAGCGGAAGATATCATTATGTATACCTTAAATTGTTTACCTAGCTCCTATCAGGCATTTAAAACTGCCATCAGAACGAACCTAAATCCCACAAGTTTGGATGATTTTTATTCACTTATTTGTGGTGAAGAGCTAGC